TGTTACTGGACATTATTGGGACGTTGCTGGGACGTTACTGGAACAATACTGGGATATTGCTGGGACATTATGGGATTGTCACTGGGACATTATTGGGACGTTGCCGGGGTGTTGCTGGGACGTTGCTGGGACGTTACTGGGCCCAGCAGCAGCACCAGGTTTGAGTTGAGTGTAGCTGCAGCTCCAGTCCCGGTCCCTGGTCCTCGGTCCTCGGTCCTCCTCCCCCTCGGTCCCCCTCGGTCCCCCTCGGTCCCCCTCGGTCCCCCTCGGTCCCCCTCGGAGCCTCGGTGTGAATCTCAGGCTCCAGTAAACTCTGAACAAAGCCTCATTGTGCTGCAGCTTCCTGCTGCGATGCTGCCATGCTGGTGGTCTGATGCAGATAAGAGTCGGACGTCCAGCCGGGTCGGGTTTCTAACGGAGCCGAACCAGACGGTGGTTTTCTAAGAACTGATCTAAAACGCTTCGTTTTATTCAAAGAGACTCAATGATTAGATGTTTGTTCAAACTGAGATGATTCTGTTTGTCTTTAAGCTTTAATTTGTTCTTTTGCATTTCTGAGTCGTCACTTGTTTTATTTTACACTTTAGTTCTGCTTCACTCGAGCTTTAAAGACTTTGTTCAGTCTGTCTCTGAGTTGTTGGTTTGGGTTTGACTTCATCTCGTAGCTGTTTTCAGTCTTTAGTTCTTTCTTTATGTCTCTTGTTCATCGTTTGCTTCTTTAAGTGTTTCTGTGGATGATTCCTCATTTTTCCAGTTGTTGTTGTTGTTTTGTGCTTCTTCGTGTTGAACGTCAGAGCGTGACTCAGGTCGGACTCGTCTGTCTCGTTATGAAGATTTATCAGAGTGAGAATAAATCATTAGAGGGAAGCAGCTGGATGCAGGTTGAGGAAACCTGGAGTTACTCATGCTTTAGGGGATTAATGTTCAGGTTACTGGTGGTTTTGTGTGTTATTATCCAGGTTGTGATGCTGAAGGAGCTGATCTGCGGCTCCCTGATGCCTCCTTCCTCTGAACATCCTCTGTGGTCTGTGTGAAGCTCAGATGATGTGATGTGAATCCTCTCAGTCTGCTCATCAGGTTTATCTTTGATCGTCTCAGAGGTCACAGATTGTTCCGATGTGACAACAGGAGCGTTAACGAAGGCTAATTAGTGCTGATGACGAGGTTCTAGCAGGTCGAGACGTCCACGTGTGTGAAACCGGATTTTAAATCTTCTGCTCACGTCCAGCAGCTCGTTGCTCACGACGAAGCCTGAAGCTGATCTGGTGGCTTAATAAGCAGCTTATTTGTACTTTTCTGTGTTAATATGCAGGTTTTTGATGCTTTTGTGCATAAATATGTAGATTATTAACAGTTTTATGAGCTAATATTCAGGTTTGTGATGCTCTAGAGCGGCAGTGTTCAGGTTTTTGACAGAATAGAATAGAATAGATGAGAACATCCTTTATTAGGGGAAATGTGCAACGCCAAGAAAAGCAAGCAAACGACTATAAAGTAAAGAGGCGAGGTGTATGAACAGTATGACCAAGAAGAACATTAATGTGTTCATATCAGGAATACTGACACGGTTGTGTGTTATTATTCAGGTTTGTGATGCTTTCCCACGTTAATATGCAGGTTAATGACAATCCTGTGCATTATTTTCAAGTTTTTTGTTTATTTCTGAGGTAATATGCAGATTACAGATGATCATGTGTGTTAATATTTAGGTTTTTAACACTTTTGCATGTTAATATCAAGAATATTGACATTTTTGTGCACTAGCATCCCGACTATCAGCACGCTTGTGTGTCAGTGTCCAGGTTTGTGATGCTTTTGTGCATAAATATGTAGATTATTAACAGTTTCATGAGCTAATATTCAGGTTTGTGATGTTTTAGAGCGGCAGTGTTCAGGTTTTTAATCGTTTATGTGTGTTATTATCCAGATTATTAAGATTATTTGTCTGTTAATATGCAGGTTTTTTGTTGATTGTGTACATTGGTATCCTGATTATTGATGGTTTTGTGCGTTAATATTCCAGTTTTTAACACTTTTGTGCTTTAACATCCAGATTATCGACACGTTTGTGTGTTAAAATCCAGGTTTGTGATGATTTTGTGTGTCGACAGGCAGATTATTGATGATTTTGTGCGTTCCTGTTGAGCTCCTCGGCGCTTGTGCGTGCTAACATCCAGGCTGTGGGCGCTGTTGTGTGTTTTTTGTGCGTTAATGTTCTGTTGTAGCCCCAGTTGTTGGCTCAGACTGTTGCAGGCTGATGGATGCTCTGTTGAAACGGCCGTCCAGTCAGAGAAACTCTATCTGTGTCCTCTGTCGGCCCAGCTGTCTGCACACACACACACACACACACACACACACACACACACACACACAGTAACACAATAACACACACAGACTCACACACTGGTCCATCTGTCGACCTCGTCTCTCTGGTCTCCCTTCAGCTCAGCAGGCTAATTAACTAATGTGCTGATCTTTCACTGCCTCTTTGTGTTTCTGTGTGTGTGTGTGTGTGTGTGTGTGTGTGTGTGTGTGTGTCACAGGGTTAATTGTTGGTCTCGGCTTCCTGTTCGCCGGAGTAAAAACTTTATTATCCTGCGCTCGCTGCGCCGCTGGATTCACTTCGGCTCCGTCAGACTGAAGTGACAACGAAGAGCCTGTTTCTTCTTCTGAGGTTTTAATTCCGGCGTCGCTTCCTGTTTGGCTTCAGCTTCACTGAAATCGTCTGTGATGGCTTGGAGACGATCAGCTGATCCTCTCATCCGTCAGCTGCTGCAGCTCCGTATCGATGATGTTCATCAGCGTCTTCGGCCTTCGTTCCTCCTCAGACGCTCGTTTAACCAACAAACAGGAAACTCAGTTTGTTCTACAAGCAGCTGAACGTTTGTCCGTCTTCATGATCCGATCAGTTTGATCGATGACGGCTTTGTTAGAACTCGTCTCCTCCTGAGTGCTGAAGTTCAGTCGTCTGCTCAGTGTTTCCTCGTTCAGAAGCCCGGCGACCCGTCTCACACTTCAGGTCACCATCACACACTCAGCTTGTTCTCGGCTCCATGAAAGAAAATCAGAAAGTTTTAAAAGTGTGAGGAGCTGAAAGCAGAAAACCAGCCGACGGTTAAAACAGTTTAAATGTCAGATCGTGTTCCTGTCGTTTACATCTGACATGAATCTGATCCAGTTTGTTGGGAAGTCGATCGTTTGTGTTTTTAAAAAATGTTTTCAGCAGCTTTCAGAAAAATGTCTGAAATTAAACACACACACTCACACAGTAACACACACACACACACAGACAGACACACACACACACACACACACACAGACACACACAGTAACACACACACACACACACACAGACACACAGCTTGGCCTCGTTGTGTGTCTTTGTGTTTGTTCTACGTCTCCGTGTTTGTGTGTTTTCTCTGTTTGTTATTTAGTTTTGCCTCCTTGTTGTTGTGTTGTTGTCTTTGTTTTCATTTTGAATCCGTCAGACGTTGTTGTGTGTCTTTGTGGTCGTTTTACATCCACATGTGTGTTTGTTCTCATTTCCTTCAGCTTTGTCTCCCTGTTGTGTGTCTTTGTGTCTCCCGTTTTGCCTGTTGGTGGTCGTTGTGTGTCTGTGGACAGAACCAGGAGGCGGTTCTGTTCTGGTCGTAGGTTCTGTTGTCTCATGTTGTCCTGTATCGACTGGAGCTGAAGCCAGGAGGATGGTCTGGAGCTCTGGGCTGCTGCTCGTTGTGTGTCCACGTTTAGTCATCCTGGGCTGCTACGTTCTCATTTTGTGTGTTTTAAATCTCTGTGTTGTCGCTTTGCGTCTCTTTGTAGTCGTTGTGTGCCTTTTTTCCTCATCCTGTGCCTCTGCTTCATCGCTTTGTGTGTCTTTGTGGTCGTTTTACGTCTCTGTGGTCGTGTTGTGCGTCTTTATAGTCGAAGCGTTTTAATCCTGTCGCGACCACGAACGCCGTCGGAGGAAGAACAGCCTCCATTTTGTGTCGACGCGTCTGTAGATTAAACTGTGGAGGCATTTACAGCTGTGTGTGTGTGTGTGTGTGAGTGTGTGTGTGTGTGTGTGGCTGCAGCATCACAGTGAAGTTTCCATCCAGCTCAGTGTTACTGGAGCTGCTGAAGCTTTCTGAGAGAATCAGTGAGAAGACAGACAGAAACAGATCAATACCTCTATCTGACCGATCACACACACACACACACACACACACACACACACACACACGCAGCTCATCTGTGTGTGTTTCTGGTAAATAACCGTCTGTCGCTGTAACGTTCACCATCAGGCTAAAGAACAATGAAGTATTTTACTGTGACTGGTTGGAGCCACGTTAGCTCAGTTCAGAGGTAACCGGCTTTTAGCATCGTAAACCTGCTCCAGGTGAGCCACCAGGCGAGCCACCAGGTGAGCCACCAGG